CATATATATATATATATATATATATATATATATATATATAGTGGGTTCGATTAAAACAATGTGCTTTCAAACTTTTCAAATGAAGGCTCCAGCACAGATAAAAAGAGACTCGATTCCACAACTGATTATGAGATAGTTGGTTCGATTAAGAAAATGTGCCGCGACACTTTTCAAATGAAGGTTCGGCACCGAGAAAAAGAGACTCGAGTCTAGTAAGTTTCTAGTATCGGTTAAAAGAATGTTGGGGGGGGGGATATTGCATTGTAATGATTATTGTAGTAAATGAAGAGAGGAACGATGAAAGTAATAAAAGTAAAACTATTAAGGGTTGGGAGAATTGAAGTCATTACATGATTTTTTCTAGTTTAAGTCAAAGCGAAATGTTTAACCCTACACACCAATTGCTAACCCCACAAAAGAAATTATGGACAACTCATGGAATTTAAATCAGCCATGAATACATTTATGACTTATTTATTCCATTAGTTTCATGAAGAAAAAAAAAAGAAACAGCCATCAATACACGTCGCTGCGTGTTGCAAACCTTTGTCAACAACCCAAATAACACTGAAGAGTAAAAAAAAGGTGAATATTTAAGCAAACTAATGTGTCGTAATAATGTTTCTTAAGCTTATTATTTAAACTATTTGCATTAACATATAGCATAATTTACTAGGAAAAATATCCAGTTTTAAAACCTATGTTTTTAGTGTAAAGTCAAATAAAAATAATTAATAGCTTTCTGATTTTTGGCAGGATTTATTAACAACCAAAACTTTGACCATTTTCAGGTTAACACACTTATATATATTTAACTTAAACATTTAATTTATCAAATACGAACATCAACAAACTTCACAAAATGCTATTTCCATTTAAAACTGTTCATTATTTTTTAATTTTATATTTATTCTGTAGTTGATTACGAAATGAACGAAAGTGCATGTAAATACTTATTCTAAAAAAAGTGTAATTTATTTTTTAAAAAAAATTCATTAATTTTAATTTAGAAACAATTTACTTTTCATTTTCTTTTAGTTAGGTTCATTTTAAGTTAATTTCCTGTAAATAACACATTTAAAATAGTGATATAATAGCCTTAATTTGGTAGAATAACATGGACAGATTAAAAACAAATGTTATCATTTTTTTAAATATAATTTGTTACAGAAATATGGGTCAAATGTCAGATATAAGTGTATAAACATGTTTAGTTAATATTGCACTTTATGGAAAGGTTATTAAAGTAGACAAAAATTGCCCTTAAAAACTAATGTTTCCCAGACCACTGTTGTCAGAACTTTGCAACAAAAGAAAGAAACTGACTAAAATAAGAGCCACCAACGATCAGGGAGACCTAGAATAATGTCCAAACATGAGGATAAGTTCATGTGCACTATAAGTAAGCGTCAGCAGTATCGAACATCATCAGAAGAAATTGAAGGTTACTAGACAGAAAAACTGTTTCAATAACTACTGTAGAGCATCGTCTTCTTCGTGACTATGGTTTAAAAGGTTGTTACAGCTGCTAGAAAACCTCTTTTGAAGAAACAAAACATAGTGAAACAACTGTAATGAGTTAAAAAAAATGTTAACTGGTCTTTAGAACAGTGGTCAAAATTTGAGTTGTTTGGAAAAAAAGAAGGCAGTATGTTCGTCGTTTAGTTGGTGAGCATATGACAAATCAATGTTTACTACCAACTTTTAAGCAGGGTGGAGGTTCTGTCATGGTTTGGGGATGTTTTACCGGAGACAAAGTTTGGAGATCTTGTAAGAATAGAGAGATTTATAGATAAAAAACATTGTTACGCTTTTCCATGTGAACAGAGAATCGTTGATCAAAGATTTGTTTTTCAGGAAGATAACGATCCGAAACATTCATTGAAATTGTGTAGGAACTACATTGCATCAAAAGAAAAGTACAGAAATACATGGATTGGTAGCCACAATCCTCCGATACTAATCCTATTGAGCTATTGTGGAATAAACTAAGTAGAACTGTTAGAAAAATGGGATGTACCAATCAAACCAAATTTTGGGAATCTTTACTTAGTAGCTGGAACCAGATCTCAACTAGAACATTGCAAAAGCCGATAGAAAGAATGCCAAAAATATGCATTGCTGTGATTAAGGCTAAAGGAGTACATTTCGAAAAATCCAATATTGGACGAAATTCATAAGTTATAGATAAAATTATAGCATACCACATGAATTATAGCATCCCTTATATAGCATCCCGCATAAGTGTATCTATAAATATCCTTTGTCAAAAGAAAGTTAATTTGTTGCGATTTTCAGTTTAAAATCTTTGCTATTTGTTCATTTTTAAAAAATTCAAGAGTGAGTCTAAACCTATAACCGGTACGGTATGTCCAACTTCCTCAATTGGTATGTTTCCCTCGTTAACAAATAGACACAAGAAGTTGAGGTTCAGAAGATAGAGATTGGGCTACAAGTAGCGAATTGGGCTACTTTTAAAAGTCCCCGCTACTGAAAATCGAATTTGGGCTACCCGCTACTTTTTGAGCTACTCATTATTTTTCGAACGCTACAAAACTTAAAAAAGCGCTACTTTTTTTTCTTACAGAAATATTTTTTTTCTAATTTTTTGCCTTCCCATTATAAAATGATTCAGGAAAGTGTGCAGTTTCTTTATCTTTTTTAAAAATAAAACTTTTTTTGTTAAAAACGCATCTGCTTCAGTTCTGGATTCGTGATTTGTTTTGCTGCTGGGAATCTATTATCTTTCCATATCTATGTTTCAAATCGTAAACTCGTGAAATCGAAAGGATATATGGGTGATTCTTTGGAAATATGAAAATTCGGAGGAAAAAAATTTCTTCAAATTTAAAGTCTTCGAAATAAAATTTTTTGTACATTTATTTAGTTACATTTATTAATATCTTACAGACAGCAGTAAGATGTGTAGCAGTATTGTGTGTAGTTTATTGACATTTGCTCAAGAAAAAAATATAATAGAAATTCACCACATTGTGAATGCCAGGAAAATGTCATATTAGCTGAGAAGTTAAGAAAACAATCATTTTAAGCTAATAGTAAGTGACACAACTTAAAAAATTCAAAAAAGACAAATTTGAGGAGTTATTTTTGACTTTTTTATGTAAATAGAATCCAAAAAAAAAAAAATAATTATTGTGAAAAATTTTAATAAATGTTTTAAATACAAAAAAGAGAGTAACACACACAATGAGTTAATTTTCAATTTTACTACACCTTAATTTGCAAAGAAACAGTTAAAACAAAGAAAACAAAAAAACTTAGTAAAATTTCATTAATCTTGAAGCTTTCAGAGAAAGCAAAATGCCTGGAAGATATTGGGTAAGGAGCAGACATTTTTGAATTTGTGATATTCTAAGAAATTTTGACACAGACATTTTTCCCGGGCCACTTAAAGTAATTAGCAGTCTGTTTGCGAGCACGAACAATAAAGCTAACTTTAATATCTCGATAAACGACTTCAAAAGTCCTATATTAAAAATGATAACCTTAGGAATTTTTTAATTAATTTTATAAAAATTTACATTAAAATTAATTTTCTAATAATCTACATCGGAATTTCTTTTATAATGTTATTTAAATTTAAAATATTTTAAATCATTTTATTTTACCACTCTATTACATTCCTTAATTTATAGACCCAAGCAGCGTTTAAAAACTGACAGAATTAAATTGTACAGTGATGTTATTAGTTTATCCTTTATATTTTTAACTATCCGTGTTTTGAAAAAAAAAAAAAAAGCCTTTGAATTAGAAGGACCATGAATTGTTTAAATTAATTACTTTATCCACTGTAGAAAAAATCAAAAATGTTATTGTAGTTATGCACAGAATAAAATTGTGTATAATAAACAATCATTAAATAAATGGATAACTTTAATTACATACGAGCATATTACAATTTTTCATAAACTGGCTATTAGGTTAATATTTGTTTTCCCTCTCTTTTCATTTTAGTGTTTAAAACATTTTCTTATAACTGTGTTAATGTCCTGGAACTTATAAGCCAGGATAATGACAATTTAGTCATTTTACAGCATTTAACATTCCTTAAGATTTTGGCCTAAGACGTTTACTTTCTGCAGAAAACATCAGGATTTCTTGAAATAACTAATGTGAATGTAAATAGTTTAATATCAATGATTTCAGGAGGACAGAAAAAGGACAATTTAAAACCCTTCTCACCTTGTAAAATTTTTTGAAATATATTTTGACTCAGAAAGTTGATTCTTAATTCCTGCAATTAGACATGTTTTGATAGTATTCTAATCAATCTCTTAACCTAAGATATTGATTGCTGTTGGCTATAAATTACTAAAAAAACTGCCAGGAAAATGATTGACTTTCATGTAACAGACAAATTATTGACAGAAAAAATTATTTTCAACAAAATTTTTGGAAATAATACCCTCTGCATACATTCTAGAAATGCTTACAACGGTTGAGATAAAAAATAATTAGATATTGAAAAATATATGGGAACTTTTGAAGCTAGTTACAATTGGAAATATTGTTTTAGACATACCAGGAAAATGACACTTTGATATTCAATTAAATATTTTAACTATACAAAACAGTCAATGCTAGTGCAAAATCATTTTAAAATGCTAACAGCAATGCTATTTATTAATTTTTTTNACTTTTTAATCTTAAGTTCTGGCAACACCACAAGTTGGAATCCTGGAGAATACTGGTTGATTCGAATTCTACTCGCATCGTAAAATAACCCCAGTTGTTGAAGAATCATGTTTAAGAATCTTCTTCACGTCGGGCTAACAGTAAGAAGTTTTCATCTCTATTTGATGTAAATGTAGGTTAGTTTCATCAAAAAAGGCTAGTTTGCCTCAATGCTTGATCCAGAGTCGCGATGGCTCAGGGGACAGAGCGTTCGCCTTCCAATGAGGTGAACCGGGTTCGAAACCCGGCGATGGCAGGTCGATACGAATCAGCATCCGGCTTGTATCGACCACAGTGCTGACGTGAAATATCCTTATGGGTACGAGTCCCTTTGCCGTCCAGCTAACCAGGGGAGGTACTCGTGGTCTTCCTCTCCTTGTAACGCTAATGGGGGTAATTCCATCTAAAAAGTCCTCCAAGAAGGCAAAATTTCTTCCAATACTTGATCCAGGAGCTTTCTTGTTTTCTGGATTGAAAATTACAAAGCTATGGAATTGAACATTGGTAGACGTAAACCCAAATAATTGGTGGGCAGTTCAGCGACGGATATAAAATTAAATAAAAATAATAAAATATATATCTATATATATATATCCATACTTGATTCGAAAAATCCCTGTCTTCTGGGTTGAATTAAATCTTATAATGCTGAGTTGAATTAAAAAATAAGGTTCAATGCAGGTAATAAAATGAAACAAAACTGTTAAAACACGAACTAGAACTGATTAATAACACAGCTGAAAATATTAAACCTCGAACTAAAACATAATTAAAACACAACTCTGTTAGAAAAAACTACCAATACTAACATTTAAAACTTAACAACTTTTTAATAATCTTAAGCATAACAGTGCTACCAAAATAATAAACATCATACTCAAGAACAAATCAAAACGGAAAAAAAGCAACGGTAGCGTAACTAGATCACTTAAAAAATACTTACTAAGTACAGCCCAACTTTTTGCTGCTCTCAGGTCAAAGTAAAGTTGAGTTAATGAGTCAGAGCAGTTCGATGACACATTCACATTATCTAACATTTCATTTAATTCCAATAACGCGGACTGTGAGAAAGTCGAATCAAACTCATTTTGGTACATCACCTTAAGATCATGCCAATTTAATGAGACATTTAAATTTTTGTATGATTCCAAGAAACTGCTCAAAGTTGTATTTTGAACGACTTCTGTAACTCCTGAAAACAATATTAAGGCGATCCAAATCTTATGAAACATTTTTATATTTTAATACCAATTTAAATAAAGCAGTTAATGTAAAAAAAATTTTTATTCAGATAGAGGCACGCAATTTTATTGACTGCTAAAAGAAAAAAACGAACTGAAATTGAAGAAACTGGATAAAAATCTAGAAATACAGAGAGAAATATAGAATTAAAAACCTGCCAAGAGATGATTTTGCAGTAAAGAAAATAATAAGGGATCTAAGATTTTCGGATAGAAATAAAGCTAATGAGGAAAAGTTGTTTTATAGTGAACTTGTTAGGTGCATGATGAAATAAATAAAAAATCGTAACAGCTGAATAACTTTCGATTTGATAATCGGATTTCGTGTACTTACATGCAGTCTTAATATTTCCCGGGATGGTTTTCATGGAAATTAAAAGTTTTAAGTCAAACACAAAAATCGTACATTTTCTGAATAAATATTATTCGACGAATATGGATTTATGAATCACTAAGTAAGACAGGTTGCCGTGATTTGGAAAGTAAGCTGTTTAGACAGGTGTTAAAAGTTGATAATTCTTTTTATGTTAGCTAAAAGCTAACTTTCGTTTTCTGTTAAAACTGCCGAGTTGCCATGGCAACGTTCTTTATTCTGCTTTTTGTGGAACAAGAAATAATCGTCTGAAAATTATTATATAAATAAAAGGTTGTTCTTTTTTTACTAGAAGTTTTATTATTTAGTCAGATTTATTATTTAGATTAGAAGTAGAGAACGGCAGGATATTTTACTTCCTGATAGAGTCTCGTAACAACAGGATAGCAATAGAAAATTATTATTTTCTGAGTATTTCAGTACCTTTCTATCACAATTCAAACGATTTTTTTTTTGCATACATTGACTGAACTCATTTATCCGAAGATAATTTCTTCTAAAAACATTTTACTACAAAAATTTCAAACTGCGCAGTTAGCAAAATTTTATCAGGATCGATCTAATAGTTCTTTAGATTGAGCCACGATGGCTCAGGGAACAGAGCATTTCAGTGAAGTGAACCGGTTTCGAATACCAGCGACGGCTGGTCGATACGAATTCCGCATCCGACTTGTACCGACCACAGTGCTGAAGTAAAACATCCTCCATGGTAGACGGATCATGGGTTAGAGTCCCTTGCCGTTAGGCTGACCGTGGACAGTTTTCCTCCCCATGTTAAGCAAATGCGGGTTAGTTCAATCAAAAAGTCCTCTACGAAGATGAATTTCTCCCAATTATTGATCCAGGAGTTCCCTTGTCTTCTGGATTGGGTTTAAAATTATCTTCGTCATTTCAATGGATTTTAGCATCCTCCATATTTGATTTGCTCCCACTGACTAAATAATCAAACAAAGAATTTTGTAAGATTAAATTCCAGTTAGGAAGATAAATTTATCCAGGATCTATTAGCTCTGCGGATGTGAAAATATTCATCAGCTAAGTTAATGTTTTGTAACCTCTCACACTTTTTTTGAGGGTGTGAGAGCAGTAATTCAAGGAACAACTCATAAATTTAAATCTGTTGGACTTTATTTATTAAAGTAACACTTGTTTAAGACCTAACAGGAATAGCCCAGTCATTCAACCCAGGCATGTTTTATTCTTTCTCAATGGCAGACGATCTGAGCATTCTTTTTACTTATGAAATTACATTTACAGTCCCTGGCCACTGTAAGACGAACTTCCCTCTCATTTCCAGAAGAATCACATCACACAAATTGCTGACATAAAAAAGAACTGTTTTGTTTTTACTCCAGACTCGTGGCGGAAAAGATATTAGCGCCAATACCTGTGCCTGCTCATCGCATATTGCAGGTGTGAATTCGAAAGCTAGTGAAGAGAGAGGGGGGAAAGAAAGATTTCCCCTTTCAATTTGTTTATTATTCCATTCTGAATTCAAATTATTCTCTCTTGTTTTAGATTGCAGTGAATAATTATGTTCTCGATCAAAATGTAATAAAATATGATGCCTTTTAGCACATTTTGACACCTATGCAATGACTTGAAATTAATATAAAAGTTTTTTTGCAAACCAAAAAATATGAAAAATCATTAAAGTGTCCGCCAAATAAAATGCAGTATTTAATCATAATAAGAAAGTAAATGATAATAATGCCTTTAACTGAAATAGACAATACTGTACCTTAAAAATAGACCAAAAAGAATTTTCCTAACCCTTCTATATCATATTTGCGACACTGTCGATTTCAGCGACACCTGTACTAATAGTCTACGGTGACACGTACAAAATAAAAAATTTTCAAAGCTGTTTATTAAATATTTTTCAGCATATGTATATGTTTTTTAGAAATTTTGACGCCTATGCAATGACTTGAAATTAATATCAAAGTTTTCTTGTGAACCAAAAAATTATGAAAAATTATTAAAGTGTCTTTGATATGAAACTCTTGTAGAATTTGTAGTTGAATGTTATTCGTTTTTGCAGCTCTTCGGGGGAATCGAACAGTAGTGGGAATCAAACAGAAGCGTTTATAAACGTACGGTAAAAATAAACTTTATCACGATTGAAAATTGCATGCAATTTTTATACGCATGCATAAGCCGGCTTGTATGTTCATTAGAAAGACAGGTTATGTGATATAAAAAATTTGAATGTTGATCCCTTTATCGTCGAAGTTTTTCCTTCGGGGAAGGAATCTGTGATGGATTTTTACTTCTTTGCTATCCCTTAAGTCCCTTGCAAAACTTCATCAAGCTGAACGGTACTAGAAAATTGAATTGATTTGATTAATTTATTCTCATGTCAGTTTGCATACTCAATAAAATGAAGGGTTATAAATCCTTGTCAAATCGAAGATATAATTGCACGAATTCCGTAAAGGTAGAATCATGGTTAGAACGGAATTTAAATCCCGCTACCTCCACGCTTCAGAGCATTCGACGGAAGGACAATGCAACTTGACTTAAACGATTTTATAACCGTCGTTGAACAGCCAACCTGATTTCTGGGTTTACGACGACTAATGTTCAACTCCGTAACCATGTGATTTTGAACCAATCCAGAAGACAAGGAAACACCTGGATCAGTAACCCCAAAGATATGATTTGTTATGGGAACATGGAGGACTTTGAGACTCGACAGATTTAACGTGCATCAGCCACCATTATGACACATTATGACACGGGGATTCTACGGCCGACGGGGATCGAACCCACGACCTCTTGGACATGGGCCGAGTGCCCCACCAACCAGGTTATCCAGACCTGATTAGCAGAAAGACATGGCCGGATTTAACTGGAATGAAACGTGAAGCTGATGTCTAGTGGGAAGATGGGTGTCTAATTTCTCGGACGGCTGAAGAGAAGGTTTCAAGTTCATGTCTGAAATCACTAAAGGACCTCAGTGCTTAAACGGAGTAGAACCAACACTTACTGTGGAATATACATAATTCTAACTTGAAGTCGAAATCTCCACCTTCTTCGCACCATTAGTGAAAAGTCAACCGAAGAGTAACAACAGCAGTAGTCCCTTAGTGGACTGATCGTTAGGACACGGCTCCTAGCAGATCACCAAAGTCACGCATCACCGGTTGCAGTCAGTGTGCGGGTGGGTGACCTCTTGGATCAGTCTGCGTAGGGACCGAGGGTGTGCGGTATTGGTCCTCGTTTAACTGTGCTACCGTAAAGTACTCGACTTCGGGCGCAGGTCGTCGGGCTACCGAAGTGGGGGTGCCATCCCCTCCGCAGAGGATCAAAATTGTGATGGCATGTCTTCGGATCATCCTCAGGGATGTTTCCCAGACCGTCGCCCATAGCCCACTGTGCGGCCCGTAGCGTATGAAAGCGCCAATCATTTTACATGTTTGATGAAGTACTTGCGAGTCCACATGTGCGTCTACTGAGCTGAGTTCGGTGAGATTATTGGCACTCTCATATGCAACTCTGCCTCAAGATATTCTCAATTTCAAGATTCATTTTCCACCCTCTGATATGGAACCGAAAAATCTCATCTTTTCATAATGGCTAATATAATCAAGAAAAGAGTTCTTTATCAGAAACTGATGGTTATTTTATCATGATTATGTGAAGTCTAAAAATTATTTTGCATTTTGTTAATGTATGTAGGTCTTAAAAATATTTTTGAGTACCTAAAAAGTACTTAAAAGGTGCTTATTTTCGTTGAAAGATGAACAGACGCACCCTGTTTGATGTTTGAAAATTTTAATGAAGTCAAATGACTATTTGATTTTGAAACGTGAGGCGCGATTAAAAATTTTGAATATGTAGTAGAATGTAGCTAATTTAAATAATATAAACATAGCTGCAAACTAATATAATAATATAATTAAATAATATAAACATAACTTCTGGATTTTGCCAGTTTCTCCAGGTCTACTGGTTTAATAAAAATTCTTCTGGTTTTTGTACATTTTAGAAAATTCTCTAATATTGAGTAAGTTTCCTTAAAAAAAAAAATCCCCATTGAGACTATTGCTTGCTTGAATATTTAAATAAGTGTCAATAATACATGATAAAGCGAGTCTCAATAACAAAATTCATTTAACTCTCTTTGAATTTACTGCCTATTATTATTCAAAAAGATGAATAAACATAATGCATAACATTTCAAGATCATTTAATGTGAAATCATAGCTGGAAAACATGGCAGTTTTTCTTTTTTGATGACTATAAAAATCCCTAAAATTCCCTATGTGCAAAATATTTAGTATATTTTGCAACAATTATCATGAAATTTATATCATCAGGATTTCGTTGTATCTGTGTTGGCATAAAGAATTTTTTTGTAATTACATAAAGTCAAAACTTTAATTCTTAGAACTATTTTTGAGTCTGATGAATGCACCAAATGTATGTTTTATATCCGATTACAAATTTTATTTTATTTTACGTCCGTCGTTGAACAACCGACCCAATTTTTTGGATTTACGACTACTAATGTTCAGCTCCGTAGCCTTGTCATTTTGAAACCACTCCAGAAGACAAGGGAACTTCTGGATCAAATATTGGGAGAAAGTTTGCTTTCGTGGAGGACTTTTTAGATGAAAGTAACCCACATTTGCGTTACGTGGAGAGGAAGACCGCGAAAATCTCCCACAGTTAGCCTGGCGGCAAGGAGACTCAGACCCATGATCCGTCTACCACCGAGGATTACGTGATTTCAACTTTTTAGTTTCTTAATGTAATGAAATGAAACAAACATTTTAACTTATCGAAAATTAGGTTATAATATGAATTGCATTATAGAATATGAATTGTTATAGGATATATGCAAGTTAAAAATATAGAATATGAATCACAAATAAAATGATGATTAAATATGATTACAAAATCAATTACGGCTACAAATTTGCCGTAATTGATTTTGAAA